TTTTTTTTACAAATGAAACCACTGCTACTGAGTTTTCTATGATTTGAGGAAAAGGTATGTTTAAGTTTGTCAAAATGAACTTGCTGTCACCAGAAAAAAATCACAGCATTTGCTGACTTTGAACAATGCACAAACCTTTCTCTTGACATTCTCCAACAATTCAGGATGATACTTGTTGAAATTTCCATTAAAAAATTCCCACTCATCCTTCTCTGATCGCAGACCTCCTTGCTCAGCACCAATGACTTTTCGAAACCCATCTGCAAATGTAAAATTTACAAGTCAGAATAACAAAGCCATTAGTCGCAGCCTAGAGTGATCTTTATACTAGCACAGAACTTGCAGGTATAATTAACCTTTGTATAGGGGGCATCTTGTGTGCAAATCATAATGCACTGAAAAAACATTGTTACTGACAAACTTTTTGCAGCAATTGATTCAATTCAGATATTAATATTATTATTACTTGGGTGATCGGGATAAAAAATACTGGCCAACATCGTCATTACAATTTCAACTTTTGTCTAAAACAAAACTAAGGTACCCATGCAGAGTATTGCATGTCTTCTTGTTACACTTGACCTATCAATAGTCTTGATGGACCCCCTAGTGAGTTTAATTGATTGAGCAAAAAATGGAAATTAACACTTGCGTCAGTTAAGCTTATTTACTTGTTGGGAAAATGCATGTAACATTGCTTTAGCTAACGTCTTATGCAGCAGTGGAAATTATAAGGATTTGTATGGGGAAAACGGTTATATTCTTAAGCCTAAAAAATACAAAGGAATGTGAATAAAAAATACACGTACCTCGCTTCAAGTGTGTATTTCCATGTTTCTCGTGAGGTTTCTAGGCGGCTTTGTCCTCTATATAAAAGATATATACATGTAGAGGACAAAGCAGTGAAGCTAAAAACCACCTAAATGACCGTAAATCGCTCTAGAAACCTCACAGGAAACAAGGAGACACACAGCTGAAGCGAGGTAGGTTTATTTTTATTCATACTCCTTCGTATTTTTCAGTCTTAAGAATATCACTGTTTTCCCGATACAAATCTTTATAATTTCCACTGTTACGTAACCTGAGAACTACTGTATGTACAAGGCACACTCATTTGCAAGCTTAGGCAAGCAGTGGTTGGATGCTTGAAAAATAATCTCAAGATCTGCTTTACAAAGGAAAGAGGAACAAATGTTGAAAGTTTCAGCTGTGGATTTATTGCACATGAATTTATTTCATTTATTTATTTTCTTTTATCATCATCATAAGTATTAACATACGTTTGCATCCACCATACCTAGAAACATTTTGACAAAATAACGGCTCCCCTCCCCCACCCACTAAATCACAGGCAGCATTGCTCTTATTGCATTGCACACGACAAATTTCAACTGAGAACGGATGGTAGATTTGATACGTGTTACACAACTATTTCAAAATACACATTAACCTGTTGCGGCTGGCATTTGCACACTCCATGGTGAAATTCTCTTCAAAAGTACCGAACAAGCAAGTCCACAAAGCAATTCATCGAAGTCTATCAGAGGACATCTAAATCGGCCGGAAAACATACACTTTACCCGCCCACACGTCATTCCCGGAGAAAAACACGCATTGCAAACATTCTTTGACAAAGAAGTAATAGCTCAAATTTTTTACCACAAAATCAAATACTTATTTGATGTGCCCTTCGAAATATTGATGAAATTGATATGAAATCGATTAATGCTGCTGTGCTTATCACGAGCGGACGCCAAACGAGAAAGCTTATATCCGTGTACTACAACACAGGAAGATATCGTAAACCCACAATACCGGCGGGTTACATTCAACAATATACTTACACATATTCAGCTGGCGAACGAAGCTTGCAAAGTTATTGTGCTTGAAATACTTGGGAAGGATTTCGCGTGCAAACGTAGCCTGATCGTGGACCAGGAATCCGGTTCCATTCTACGGGAATAATCAAAATCGCAAGCTCGTAATCATCCCTTTTTAAGGTGTAGATCAAACGGAAGAGCAATAAAATTCTACTCGTAATAAAGAAAAAAGGTAGAGCTATGTAGTTCATAAGTATAAAATCTCTTCCGGAGACCATAAAAATGAAAACAGAATAGTTTTGACACCTTGTTCCATGAAATGTGCTCTTCGTATTGTGGATCTTCAACCAGCTTCCACAATTTCACTAAAAACGCAGGGACGTTGGATGGAATACCGCTCGAATCTCCGTCTCCCGTCTTCATCGGCATTCTTTTCATAGACCCCCAAAGAAAATAGCTTTCTCGCTGGTGTGTGCGCGTGCAGACGAAAGAAGCATAAGTTACCCAAGCGGTTCACAGATCGGCCATATTTTTTCATCCCCCGCGCGCAGGTTTTATATCCCTTGAGACGCAAAGCGCGTCAGAGGTCTGGGCTTGAATCTCAGAGGGCGTCGCTGACCTTCGAAATAGTAAACAAATTTCACTCGACACTGCGGTAGACGTGAATTGTTTATTGATTTTCTAAATTTAGCATATCGGCATTTTTGCGGCTGCAAGTGTTTTTAGATCAAGGCTCTTCGGTCGTCAGGTGGTGACCTAGGCGGGTGCCTCTCTGACGTCATTGGAACAGGTTGCCATGAGGACATAGGGACAAAATAATCAAACGTGCCTATTCGAGAACGTTCTACACGGAGCGAGGCCCACGTCTCACCGCTGACTGTTCTAGAAATCGTATCTGAATCTGCATAAATTTTTAAAGAATTCTAGAGATTTGAGGTAGCACTAATTGCTTTAATTCTTCTATTTCTTCGATAAACAAACAAAAAAATCGTAATTTGACTCAAGGATGTAGGTTTGAAGAAAAATATATTTGTGCAAGAAGGCCCAAACCTTTTTTTTTTTCAATTCACATATCTGGTCTCGATCAAAATCATGAGCTGTTTTAACTACTATCGCGAAAAAATTATACCAGACTTTTTGTCCTAGAAAAAAACATTTTCTTATCTCAAGTCGCTGGAAAGTTATTTAAATTAAAGCTTTTTGCTATTCGGGGAATAACGTCATTTGTTTAAGATTTTTTTTTAGGAGTTTGATTAAAAAATGAATAAGTTTGAAGGGTCATTATGTTCCACTAAGCTGGCTAAACCGAAGAAGAAAAAGCCTAAGTCGTCATTTTCAAGTAATATCTTCGAAAACGCCTTATTCGATAAAATCAGGCACTTGTACGAAGCTAAGCTCCCATCATGATATTATGCAGATATTCAGAAGGCCTTACCGGAAGTGAAATAAGCACTGCCATATAATTGCTTACTCGGGAAGTCACGCAAACCGTCGATTCTAGAACATATGTCGACAACGTTCTGGCGTGTCGTCGACATCGGAACATTCTAGAACGTTTTAATGACGATCGAACCGTCCCGAATCTACGTCATCCTATAAGGCGGATCAGCATGTAGTATAGTAAGTGTAATTTTGTGTGTTTTGATATCAAAAAGCATTTTTCATAGAAAAACAAAGCAAAGAGAAAAATACGTCGTGAGTCGTTGGGGTACGGTTTTAACCCGGTTTTCATCAAGCAATACTCATTTCATACAAATAAAAAATAGATATTTCCATTGATTGTAAACTAAACAGTCCAATTAAAGATTGTCTCGGGGGAACCAAGGCGGTGACGCGATTCGGTTTTACTACAGAAATCAGATTTCCAGGGCCGTATTTAATAACGAGCAAAGCGAGGTACTTGCCTCAGTAACAATTTTGAATTTATTTATATTATTTATTCCAAGTTCTCGTTATAGGCTGCGCATTACAAAAATAAATCAATGTGAAACAAGAGTTTTTTTTGCTGATATTGCCTTGGAAAAAAAAATTTTACTCTGGCTAAGGTCGTCAATTTTGACACAGACTAACGCATGGAAAACGAGCATGAAACGCTTGTAATTCACTTTCTCGCAAACTAACCAAAAATTACTTTTGATCAGTAAACTTATATCGACTCTATGTTCCAAAATTTAAATTTTACACAAAGGTAAATTAGACAGAGGATTTCTATGCAAATACTACTTCGCTCCAAGTTTTCAAAATGGCGGACAATATGCGATGCGCACTGGACTAGCAAACGTTAACCGCATTTTACACGGTAAAATTCGAGAAATGCTATGGAAATTTTATTAGATTAGCCATACTCTTTTCCGTAGCTCTTGGAAAATAAATCAATGACGATAAGGTTCAGAAACGCCTCAGGTTCATTGAACCTGCTGCCAGAAGCTTCTGTGTTGTCCCGTCTCCATAACAGGGCACGTCTTCCCACCTGAACTAAAAGCGTCATAACAAGCCGGGCCACCGCCTAGCAATCCAAACTAAGGAACACTTTTGAAAATCTCTAAGTTTTCAGTCAGCCTTTGCCACTTCTGTGCTCGTCAGTGTCGCAAAACATACGATGATAATTGCGTTCGCAGAAGAAGAATTTACCGAGGTTGTAAAATCGCCCCAAAGGGCCACAAAGATTGAACTGAGAGGGATGCGGACTCTTGCACTCTTTGAAATCGGAGATAAGTGGAATGTTTAAATCGCGTGTTTATTTGTGTTTGTGCTCCGTTGATTTGCCATCAGCTGGCGATGTACACGCAATAGATGCTATTTTGAGGGTAAGGCACGCAACATTGATTATTTTTGTATTTGGAACAAGAGGAATCGTATTGTTTTTCTTTTTTCTTGTCAGAGGGATTAGACCGGCCGATTATGTACCTTGGCAGATCTACTCGAAACCGAAGCCAAACGGCCAATTTTAGTTATTAGATTAGTTATAACTAGGAAACATATACACCAGTCCAAGAACTCGGTTAGAAATTCGTTGCATAGCTCAATTCTTTATTTCTTGGTTGTTTTGCCTTTCTTTATTGCAAGCACTGCTAATTTGTATACACTTCAAAATCACCCCGATACAAATATGCTGCAAGAAATTTCACTTAAAATATATTATATTTTTATCCTGTCCGAATAGAACTTTGACATTTCAACGTTTTTATATCTAGGCCACTACCATTTAGTCTCTACTAATGTGTTTATTTTGCTTTTACTCAGCTTTTGATTTTGATCTAAGGCCGAAGAGGGCACTCTGGTACCACGATGGCAGCTCATGGAAACTGAAGGTTAGCCCCTGTACTTGGTTTACTTACTGATATTTCTTGTAATTCAATAAACGTTCATAGCAATATACTGAACATCGAAAGAGTTGACGTATTTTGCTTTTACTGACTTTTTGATTGTGATCTAAGGCAAGAAGGCTCTCAACGATATAGTAGCTCATGGAAAGTGAAGGTTAGCCCCTGCACTTTATTCGATATTTCTTGTAATTCAATAAACGTTCATGGCTTGCATTGCGATTTATACTGAACATCGAAAGAATTCACAACGTTAAAACTAACTTTGTTTCCTTTATTAGCCTACTCACAGGTGATGTTATAGCCATACTCTCACACTTGTCTAAACGTGCGAGCTACCTGAACTTTGAAGAGTGATCCATGGAAAATTTTAGGATTATCAACTTGCCATTTAGCTATAGGAACACAGCCGGATTTCACCTGTTGTCTTCTTTAGTACCCATTAGAGGCAATCAACTAGCTAACCGTTGAGAATTGAAATAATTCAATATCCTGAATACATAGGAAGTGCCGGCAAAAGTTTGATTTTGTAGAGTAATATCAACACGTATTTTTGACATGTACAACACTGTCCACTACAGTTCTGATGTAAGCCAAGTTATTCTTCCAAAACGCTCTATTTGTTTACTGTTTTCATCCAGATCTGTCTAGTATACCTTCTAACGAATTTCTGATACCATTTTTCTGCATTTTTCGTTCGTCTTGAAGATATTTCTTCAGTTTTCTTTTCTTGATTTCAACTATATTTGAATGCTATTGTCCATGGGATGCATCTTGCTATATTGCAGGATGATATCTTAAATCAATTGTGTTTTTTTTTTCTTTTTAATCGTCTTGTAGAATATATATCTATTCTTTGACTGACTTATCCCAAGAGTCTTCTTTTCCAGTGCTGTTTGGCTGCTTCAGTTAACGTTGGTAACTTATTTAATCAAGATTTTCTGGCTGTCTTCATAAGAAATAATATTCACATCACTACGCCAGGGTTGTCTCAAGTGATAAACTGTATCATTAACCGTCCTCCTTCCGTTAACGGTCTTGGTCTCGGCTATAGTCGCTCAATATTATTGAAGTTTTAGTTATGATGATTTTACCGGTTCAGTGAAGTCTCTGCCTGTTGGACCACACGGTTCAACTTTTCTGCTTTCCAGTGAAATCCCGTTGAAATGCTATTAGTCAGGTGAAGCTTAAGCGAAGCTATTTTAAACTCTTCTGTTCACTGTATGTTCCAGCAGAACTTTTACGGTTGATAGATCTGACATGATGACACGGGTATTGCAACCGCTCTACTACACTACAGGCTGTTTTATTCTCATTCAGATGGCGTTTATCTAAGCGACGCAAAATTGGCACTATATTTGTAAAGCGCAATTCTGCCACACGCCAAGTCTCCCTCCTTATTGACCTTGTTCGCAAAAGGGATTCCCTGCTCGTCCATTCTGTTCTCTAAAGATTGTTGTGTATCTGACACCCATTGCAATGTAAAGTTTATACCACCATGATCTTGTTTTCTCATTTTGTAAGTTCCCGATCAATCTTCATCACCCGAATCATTCAGACCGGCTGACAAAATTTGTCAGTTAAAGTCGCAAACATTACTTATCTTTTCTCCGCTAAGTTCAGTGTCGATTTAGTAAAGGTTTGTTCGTTTATGCGTTCTGCGGCGTTCCGAGAATTTGTCAATCAGTCAAATTCCAGTCAAAACTTGCTAGCACAATTCTGTCACAAAATTGAATCGAAGTGCAATATTGAAAAGAAAGCTGTTCTTGTACTATTGTTAAGTGCTAATGCCACGTGTTGACGTATTTAGAATTGATATCCGTAAAAAAAATTACACTCAAAGACATGCATGAGCTATTTATGAGCATATAAACTGTATTTTAACCGTGATTCGTCTTAAATTTCTTTCTTTTCAGTAGTGCCAAACGTACAGGAACTGTTCCTCTGTTGCTTAGCTGCTAAAGGATATATATCAACCCGATTGCAACTTCCGAATCAACCTGCAAGGGCCGATCCCAAGCAAAGCAAAGTCCGCGCTCAGCGCGACTGAACGACTGAACCACGGTAATTAAAGGTGATCTGACTACCTAGGAAAATGATTCCACGCAAAACGTTATATATAGTTGAGGTTTTTCCGTTTTAGTAAATCGAAAAAGTCTAAAATAACAGAATCCGTTATCAACTCAACTGAACTGAAGATCATCCTCTACGGACAAGCTTACAAAGTTTAGAAGTAAAAACGGTCGAAATGCATTCAACTCTAGGCATAGTAGCTTGTAGTCTCTGTTCTCTGATGCGTAAAAACCGTTACCAGATAAAAGTACTACTCGCTAATAGCCGTCTTGAGTGGCTACCGGCACACTAGGGATTTTTCTACATTCTTTAAACATAGAACCACATTGTACAGCCTAAATAACAGTACCAAATGAAAGTACTGTTCGACAGCTTCCATTTAAGTGGTCACACACTGGGATCGCTCCCGCGCACACCTAAAGTTAATTAGGATGCGTAATAAACAGTGCATTAATTGGTAACACAGAAGTTTTCTTGCACAGATCACTCGGCTTAAAAGGTACACCAAAATATGCATTGCCGCATGAAAGTCCTTCTCAGCTCAATAGCTTTCATTAATATGAACGATCGCGCATACGGGTTTCTTCAACCCACGTTAAGAGTCTGTTAAATTAGACCCACCATAAACGGCTCAACAAACTATGACTAATGGAAAAATTGGTCCAAAGTTCAACATGTTTCTTATTTCTATGTTTACAGAGAATATGACTAGGCTTTGGGGTGTAAAGCATTTCAAGTTACACTGTTGATATTGTACCTGAGACTAAAAAAGATATATGTATGAGTGGATAATATATAGTATTGGATAAAGTTTGAACAGTTCAAGAATTAAACTGCGAATTTTTTTAAACCTTACATGATGATATCTGATTATAAAAATAATTTCCTACGCTAGATAATACTCGATAGGCACGCGAAATTAGTTCATTTTTCATTCCCGTATCAAGCCTTAGCTACCAACAAGTGTTAAGTTAAAATGGGTCATATAGATAACTGGCCTCTCACTGAACCCAGTCAATAACTTTAATCTTCTCTGCTCTCGCGACAAAGTGTGTTATCAGTAGAGAAGAGAGAATAAGAATCCCTGGGCCTTTTCTGCAAAGCAGCTCGACGTTTTGCCCAAAAGCTGTGCTCTTAGAAAAGCTTGCTTTGACTCTGAACAACATAATGGTAGTTAGGCTTTATTATTCGGCTTTGCTTGCAGGGTTCTTCTCCTAGT